TTTATGTCTAAAGTTGTCAGCTCCAGGTCAAAAAGAAAGACAAAGAGTGTCTTCCCCTGTTTCCTCCATGCAATTAACAATAATTATCTGCATTTTGATAATTTCAGTTTTGTGAGCATTAAAATTTTTAGGTTTCAATTATCATTGGCATATAATATTATATTAGTTTTAGGTGTACAATATAGTGATTAGACATTTATATAACTTACTAGAGGCCCAGTGTACAAAAATTTGTGCACTCGGGGGGGGGGGGGAGGGTCCCTCAGCCCCGCCTGTGCCCTCTCGCAGTCTGGGACCCCTTGGGAGATAACGACCTGCTGGCTTAGGCCTGCTCCCGGGTGGCAGAGGGCAGGCCTAATCCCTAGGTGCAGCCCCTGGTTGGGCTCAGAGCAGGGCCGATTGGGGAGTTGGGGCGCCACCCCCTGCCATGCACAGAGCAGGGCGGATTGGGAGGTTGTGATGCCACCCTCAGTCACGCTCAGGGTAGGGCCGATTGGGGGGTTGGGGCACTGCCCCCCGTCACACTCAAGGCAGGACCGATGGGGAGGTTGTGGCGCCACCCCCTGTCACACACAGAGCAGGGCCAATCAGGGGGTTGGGGCACTGCCCCCTGTCACGCACAGAGCAGGGCCCATCAGGGGGTTGAGGAGCTCCCCCCGTCACTCACAGAGTAGGGCCGATAGGGGAGTTGGGGCACTGCCCCCTGTCACACACAGAGCAGGGCGGATCAGGGGGTTGGGCGCCGCCCTCTATCACCCACAGAGCAGGGCCGATGGGGAGGTTATGGCTCTACCCCATCACACACAGAGCAGGGCCCGTGGAGGGGGGGGGGTTGGGGCGCCACCCTCTATCACCCACAGAGCAGGACCGATCAGGGGGTTGGGGTGCCGCCACTCTCACACTCAGGGCAAGGCCGATAGGTTATGGCTCTGCCCTGTCACACACAGAGCAGGGCCCGTGGGGTGGGGTGGGGGGGCGGGGTTGGGGTGCCGCACCCTGTCACACACAGAGCCGCAGGGCGATCAGGGGGTTGGGGAGCTCCCCCTATCAGGCACAGAGCAGGGCTGATCAGGGGGTTGGGGCGCCTTCCCCTGTCAGGAACAGAGCAGGGCCAATAGGGAGGTTGTGGCCCGGCCCCCTGTCACACACAGAGCCACAGGGCGATCAGGGGATTTGGGCGCTGCCCCCTGTCACACTGATCCCGGTGCCAGGAGGCCTCGTGGCTCCGCTGATCCCGGTGCTGGGAGGCATATTACCCTTTTACTATATAGAATAGAGGCCTGGTGCATGGGTGGGGGCTGGCTGGTTTGCCCTGAAGGGTGTCCTGGATCAGGGTGAGGGGATGATGGCTGTTTGCAGCTGGTCACACACCCTTCAGGGTGGGGGTCCCCACTGGGGTGCCTGGCCAGTCTGGGTGAGGGGCTGAGGGCTGTTTTCAGGCTGGGACTGAAGCTCACAACTGCTCCTTTTTTTATTTTTTTTTATTTTTATTCTGGGCCAGTTTTAGCTCTGGCTCCAGTGCTGAGGCCTCAGCTGCTGAAAGCAGGTATCTGGTTTGTTTAGGTTCTATAATCAAAACTCTGTATCAACTCCAGCTCTGAGATCCCAGCCGGCTGAAAGCTGGTTTCTGGGGTTTTGTTTAGCTTCTATATTTGTTACAATGTTTTAAACTATAAGCTCAGAGGCCAGCAAGGCAGGCGGGGAACGTTGCAGTCCTCCGTCACTAAAGCAAGCAAGCCACATGTTCAGTTTAAGCTGCCTGGCTGCCGGCCACCATCTTGGCTGGCAGTTAATTTGCATGTCGCCCTGATTAGCCAATGGGAAGGGTAGCGGTCGTACACCAATTACCATGTTTCTCTTTTATTAGATAGGATGAGTGATCACCCTAAGTTTAGTACCCATCTGACACCATACAAGTTATATTCCCTCTGCTGTACTTTATATCCTCATGACGATTTTTATAACTAGCAATTTGTACATCTTAAGCCCTTCTTCTTTTTCACCCTTCCCCTCCCATCTGGCAACCATCAATTTGTTCTCTGTATCTATGAGTTTCTGCTTTATTTGTTTACTTTTTTTTGTAGATTCCACATATAAGTGAAATTATATGGTATTTGTCTTTATTTGTCTGACTTATTTCACTTAATATAATACTCTAGGTCCATCCATAATGTCGCAAATGGCAATATTTCATCCTTTTCATGTCTGAGTAATATTCCATTGTATACATGTAACACATCTTCTTTATCTATTCATCTGTTGATGGACACTTAAGTTGTTTCAATATCTTGGATATCGTGAAAAATGTTTCAGGCCCCAGCTGGCTTTGCTCAGTGGATAGAGTGTCGGCCTGCGGACTCAAGGGTCCCGGGTTTGATTCCGGTCAAGGGCACATGCCTGGTTTGCAGGCTGGATGCCCAGCAGGGGGCATGCAGGAGGCAGCCGGTCAATGATTCTCTCTCAGCATTGATGTTTCTATCTCTCTCTCCCTTTCCTTTCTTCTATGAAATCAATTTAAAAAATATTAAAAAAATGTTTCAGTGAACAAGGTGGGGGGGGGGGGAAGAAGGCATATATCTTTTCAAATTAGTGTTTTGAATTTCTTTGGGTAAATGCCCCAAAGTGGGATTAATAGGTCATATGGTAGTTGTTTTGAATTTTTTGAGGAAGATCTATACCGTCTTCCATAGTGACTCCACCAATTTGAAATCCCACTAACAGTGAGGTAGCGTTCCCTTTCTCTACCTCTTCATCAACACTTATTGTTTGTTGATTTATTGATGATAGTCATTCTGACAGATGTAAGGTGGTATATCTCATTGTGACTTTCATTTGCATTTCCCTGATGACTAGTGATGTGGAGCAACTTTTCATATATCTATTGGCCATCTGTATGTGCTCTTTGGAGAAATGTTTGTTCAGGTCCTCTGCCCATTTTTAAATTGGCCCCCTTTTTTTAGGTTAAGATGTATGAATTCCTTATGTATTTTTTATATTAACCCATTATCAGATATATCATTGGTGAATATCTTCTCCTAATCAGCAGGTTGTCTTTTCGTTTTGTTGATGGCTTTCTTCCCTATGCAAAAACTCTTTAGATGTAGTCCCATTTGTTTATTTTTTCCTATTGTTTCCCTTGCATGAAGAGACGTATCAAAAAAAAGGTAATGTCAAAGAGTTGACTGCCTATATTTTCTTAGGAGTTTTATGGTTTGGGGTATTACATTTAAATTTTTAGTTCATTTTGAGTTTATTCTTGTATATGGTATAAGAAAATGATCCAGTTTCATTATTTTGTATGTGTCTGTTCAGTTTTACTAACACCACCTATTGAAGAGACTGTCTTGCCTCATTTGTCATAGATTAATTGTCCATGTAGGTGTGGATTTATTTCTGGGTTCTCTATTCTGTTCTATTGATCTATATGTCTGTTTTTATGCAAGTACCATGTTGTTTTGATTACTATAACCTTATATTACAGGTGGGTATAAGGTAGTGTGATACCTCCAACTTTGTTCTCCTTTCTCAAGATTGCTGTGGTTATTCCGGGTCTTTTGAAATTCCATATAAATTTTAGGATTATTTACCTTAGTTCTGTAAAAAATGCCATTGGTATTTTGACAGGAATTCAATTGAATACGTAGATTGCTTTGGGTAATATGGACATTTTAACAATGTGAGCATTTTTAATACACTCTGATCTCAGATTAGTTTTTCCACTAAACCAGAATCTCTCTTAGTCAATTCAATTCCTAATCCCTTTCCCTTATCATGAAACCTAACTCATTTATGTAAGTGACCTATGAAGTCTCCATCTCAGTTTGAATTTTGCCCACCAAGAAATAGCTTTTTCTCCCCAAGTACAGACTACTAAGTAGTATTTTTACTGTTAATCATTAGGACTAAAATACAAGTGAGAGAAGTATTATTGTTAACCTGCCAAATAATATTTAGAAAGTAAACAAATAACTTCATTTAAAATTTTCTATAAAAAATAAAGAGATGCTCTAAGGAGGTAGGTAGATACTTGGGTGACATAAAAATTAAAATAGTGAAAAATTTAACATCTATTAAATAGGGCACTTCTCTGGTTTTGTAGAAGAGGGGTTTTTTTGTTTTTGTTTTTGTTTTATGCCTATCCAAGATCAGTCAGAGAAATCTTCCTCTAGAGCAAAAAAAATATCTACCACACAAAAAAAAAACCCAAAACAGGCCACTGTCGACCTTCTGCATGAAGATAAATGGGAAACTACCAAAGTGGGGCATTTCAAAATCCTAAATTCAATATACAGCATTCTCCTTGTCTCTCAAACCTCCAGTGTCTTGTTTGGCTTTGCCCAGATTGTATTTTATGTTCCAAATCATAAAGATCCAAGAGTAAATGGTTGAATGTTTCTTCATTGGGTGTTTTTTTCCTTTTAATTTTTAAAAGAGAGTAAAGTTAACATGTAAAGATGCTTAAATTTCATCTAAGATTCTTAAGATACCCTGTGAAAAATATGTAAAACAAGCACTAGACCAGAAAATTGTACCTGATTTCTTCTCTCCCTTAAAATGCCATCTGATTTCAAGGAGAGCATGGGTTGAAATGTGGTGGCCTATGTTTCACAACGGAAAGCAATGGAACTAATTCATTATGTCTTGGCTTTAGATCTGCAGAACAGGGATACTTACCTTGAAATATAGAGAAAACAGGACTTTGAAAGACTCAGAGAGGCCCTAGCCAGTTTGGCTCAGTGGATGGAGTGTTGGCCCGCAGTCTGAGGGTCCCGGGTTCGATTCCAGTCAAGGGCACATACCTCAGTTGCAGGCTTGATCCCACCTTGATAGGGGTGCATGTGGTAGCCAACTAATGTTTCTCTCTTTCTCTCCCCCTCCCTTCTATTTTCTCTAAAAATCAATGGAAAAAATATTCTTGGGTGAAGATTAACAAAAAAATTTTTTTTAATGAGACTCAGAGGAAATTATACAACTTACAGTAACCACTTGCATCTCTCCACAGGAAAAATTCATAATGCATACTTCTGGGGATTTTCCATATTGATGGAAGAAAATGTTTGGGATACCTAAGTGAATCCATTGAAGGTATGTATTAGCATTAATTTTTCCTTATTATTGAAATGAAGCCAATGTGGCTCTTTCTCCCTTTAAGAAGTTCAGCAAAAATGCTGTGACTCTCAAAGATGAGTAAGGTTGAAACATGCTGAAATTAACCTTATTTTAAAAAAACAATAACTATGCATAATAAATAATTTTCCCAACCAATGAGGCTCCCTTATTGAGGCTCTTTTCAGGGGAGCTTCTGAATTCTGGTGGAGGTCTGTAGGATATTGCAGGTAGAAAAACATTATGTGAGAAGTAAAATACATTTCAGCTTGATTTCTGCTGAAGGCCAGTCTAGGAGTCCCCAGGGAACCTGCATGTCCACTGACCAAACCTTAGGAGTCCCTGTGAGGAGGTTGTTGGTCTTCACCTGCCTCAAGAACCCAAGATTATTGAGTTATAGCAATCCTGTAAGCATGTCAAGGAATTCTTAGTAGCCTCCACAGTTAGCACTACAGTATTATTTATAGATGTATGTACTCAATACATATTTGTTTAATAGCACTTAATTGTTAGCATGTCCTGAGGTTAACTAAAGCAGACAGCTGCCCTTGGGAATACAACCCAAACCCTTTGAAGCACAAAGGGGAAAGAGTGTGATCAAGGTCAAGTAGTCCCAGAAAGGTCATGCTTGCTTAGGATGTGTGGCTCAAATCAGCTATGGTGGGTGTGAGGGCATTAATTGTCCTTCAGAGTCACAGAAATCATCAATTGTAAATGAGTTGGAATATGTAATTGGACCTGGCTCTTGAAATTCTGTGGTCCTTTCAAAGCAAAATGGAAAAAAAGGAAAATCCAAGTCTGTTTTCTGACTTTTGTTTCCAAGAAGCTGAAAATATGATGTAAACGAGACCTTGGTTGAGGGTTATCATCCATACAAGACCTGTCACTGGTTCTGAGGTTGGAGGCTCTTCCTTTGCCTTTCCATTCTCATGCACCCCCAACCTGAGATAGGTCTTAAGGTCTCACTTTGACCATATATTCTTTCAGTCATGTGGGGGAGATGGGAAGAGGTTAATAGCCATGTAAAAACTGTCAGCAAACTAGAAAACAACTTCAGGCTTAATATCAACGGTGAGTATGTAGCATGACCTTTAAGACTTGTGTGAACAAGTCTTATGCACAAATGTTTTACAAGAATATTAAAAACAAAATATTTTTCAGAAGAGTGTATTTATAGATATAATGTTTAATTGCACTGTGAGTGATAAATGAGGTTAAACTCCATTTCAGGGCTGCTTTATATATTTATTTGCTGCCATCCATTAGCTCTGTTTTCTTTGTGACTGCAGATTGTGTCTGTTTATTAGTCTTGGTGCAGAGGGGGAATTGCTGTACTTTGGAGCTGGGAAAGGATCTTTCAGATGACGATGAAGGTTGTGGAAAGGCTTGTTTAATAGTTTATTTTGGTATTTGTTTTATTTTAAAAGGCAGTGACGAGGACTTCATACCTTTCTAATAAGCATGGATGTAAATATTTTTGTGTGCTTTACAGTCCTCCATTAATCTCCACAATACCTCTTGAGGATTGGTCAGAATCACCACCTACAGTTTATATTTGAAGAAATTTGAGACATGAAGGGATTATGTGATTGGTACAAGGTCACCCAGCATGCATGCCTAGATAATAAAAGATGACTACAAAACTCTTTCCAAACAAAAAGTGCCTTATATATGTTAGGTAGTATTAGTGGGCATGATCCTAAGATAAGTAAAATACTCTCCAAGAGTAAAGTGCTCAGACATGCTCTATAAAGTTATTTTAACCTCAGGGCAACTTTTGAAATAGGAATTCTTGAACCTGGCTATGCATCAGATGTACCTTTATAGTTTCTGGAACATGTGAGTACCTGGCTGTTTATTCAAGATACACAATCATAATCTGGGAGGTGGGACCTGGGTAATTAGTACCTTGAAAAAGCTCCATGAGGGATTCTGATGCTCAGCCAGGCTTTCGAATCATCACTCTGGACTAGAATAATAACCTCAGTCAAGCCAAGAACAACAAGATACTGTGGAGTTAATCTAAAAGAAAAAGTCTGGTGTTTTGGGGGCTTCTGTCCATTCAGTTCACAATTATTATTAGCCAAGGAGCTGCCTCCATGAAATAATCAACTGTAGTATCCTGTGTGCAGGTCCAGAAACTAGTGCAGAGATTAAAGATTATTTAAGAACCACCAGTGTTGGAATTTTATAATTTATTGGGTAAATTTACTGGGTCCACTCTGATGTTTTTATTCTAAGTACTGGTATGATAATTGAAACAATAAGAACCTACAATACCTGTCCATTCATCCATCCATCTGTAAAACACTTACTGAATACTTGTTATGTGGAGGTTATGGAGTGAAAATGATGGTTTCTGTTCATAAAGAGGTTATAATCAAGTGTTAAACACAGGCCAAACAAACAAATAAAAACCCTGTAATACTATGCCATACTATTAAATGATATTCAAAGTTTATATGAGGCATTATTCATAATTACTAAGAAGCTAAAACAACTTAAATGTTAATCAACTAATAAATGCATAAATAAGATGTGGTATAATCAGACAATGGACTATTATTCAACAATGAAATGGAATCTGGCACTGATACATGCTACAACATGGTTGAACTTTGAAAAAGTTATGCTAAGTGAAAGAATCCAGTCACAAAGAACCATGTATTATATGATTCCATTTATATGAAATATCCTGAATAGGCAAATCTATAGAGATAGATAAAAGATTAGTGGTTGCCTAGGGTTTGGGAGGCGGAGTGGGGAGGGGAACTTGGGGAGGGACTGTTAATGGGCATAGTGTTTTTTTGGGGGATGATTAAAATATTCTAAAATTGTGATAGTTGCACAACTCTGTGACTATTCTAAAAAAATGTACATTTTAAAGGGGTGAATTGTAATATATGGTGCTGTATGAAGTTGGAAGAAAGAGTGATTAATTTTCTAGAGGAAATGGCATTTGAGTTGAGTAAAAAAGGGTGATTTTTGTAGACACCAAAGCCATGCTCAAAGGCATGATGGTGATTTCATTCAAGGGGAAGTTATCTGGAATAGATTGAGTTTAGGATACATGAAGGGTGCAGTAGATGGGAGCTAGATACATGGCTTTTACTGCCAGGCTAAATTCAATAGTTTGGTTTTCATTACTGTAGGTATGGAGAGCCATGATGGTTTGTGAGTGGTCTGATCAGGTGGTGATTCGGAAGGATAATTGGAGGTGGTGATAAGGTAGGTGAGCAGGGAGACCGTCGAGGAGGCTAGGCTTTTTCAGTGTGTAGGCAAGAGATGATGAAGCCCTAAACCAGTGGTTCTCAACCGTCCTAATGCCGTGGCCCTTTAATACAGTTCCTCATGCTGTGGTGACCCCCAACCATAAAATTATTTTCGTTGCTACTTCATAACTGTAATGTTGCTACTATTATGAATCATAATGTAAATATCTGATATGCAGGATATATTTAGGCGACCCCAAAGGGGCCGCGACCCACAGGTTGAGAACCGCTGCCCTAAACTGTGACAACAGCAATGAGTACTGAAACAGGAGGCAGATTTGAGAAAATGTAGTAGACTCATAAAACAGCAGCTAGAGAGCTGAGAAGGCATGAGATATATGCAATATAGTATTTTAGACCACAAAAAGACATGGGGTGTTTTTTGTTGTTATTTAGAATCAATGCAAAAACTATTATTGAAATAACACAGAGCAGCCAAATTGTAGCTATTTAATTACTTGTCAAAAAAGGTTTGAGACTATTAACATTAACAAAGGAATGTATATTGTGCTAAAAGGATTGACTGAAAAGAGAAATACTATCTCACCATTTTGTGAGTTCTTTGGAATCAGACCTAACCTTGTAGGAGATGAAACAGTCATTTAGGGCCTGTTTGAATGACTTAGTATTTACCTCTTGCTCAGACAGCTTCCCTAGAAACATTTCCTTTGGGGTGAACAACTTGATTTACTTCCAGGGCAATACCTCCCATCTCATACCCATGCTGCCTCTTGGCTCAGTCCTCACGGACAGGTGCTCATAAGCTTCTAATAAGAGCACCATGTCTGAAAAGCATAGGGTGAATGTACCACACATTATAACTTTCACTTACAAGCATTATTGTGGGGAAGATCCGAAACCATGGAAGTCTTAAGGATCAGGAAGACCGAGATTGCCTTTTCTCTAAATCATGCAAAGCCACACCTATGTTCTCCATAAGGAGGGTCAGCCAGATGCTGGGCAAAGTTAAAATTTAGAAACCGTTTCTCTCAGTGTATGACAATATGCTTGCTAGGGATCTGTTATGGCCTCCTTTGTGGGTTTTGGAAGGTGTTGCAGTGACACTGCCTGCTGCTAGCAGTTTGGGAACAGCGCCCTTGACAAGTGCCTGTCATGAGTTTAACCAAGCAGGGAACACCATTTAGAACCCCACTTGCTGTGATGTGGCTCTTATCTGTGCCTGTCAGTGAACAATGACTACAACAAACTGTATTCAATCACAGTTGTTAGCAGAGTTCATTACAGCAGTCTGGGGTGGGAGGGATCCCAGTACATGCCTCCAAGGGATTTCTATCACAGGTTGAAACATTGGCTGTGCAGGTAAGCAATGGAAACAGGCCCTTTGGGGGAGCTTTAGACAACAGTTCTACAATTCTGAACATGGATCCATCTTAACTCCACAGTTGGTGAGGGATCAGGTTCAAAAGAGAACCACCAAAGGGAGGAGGAAAGAGATGCTTAAAGCCAGTAGGGTAAATATTCTGGGTCAAAGAGAGAAAAACTGGGTATTATTCCTTGGGCTGTTTTGACTCACTGCATGACCTCATGGAGGTCATTTCCCCTTTCTGAGACTCAATGTTCTGGTCTCAAAAATAAGGATAATACAGGGGTTGGCAAAAGTAGGTTTACAGTTATGAGTACACAAAACACAGTTTATTCTTGTATATTTGTATAATTAGTAATTATTATTTATTTGCTTTACAACTGTAAACCTACTTCTGCCCACTCCTATAATACTGAAAGAATTACAGTATTTATATCATGGGATTTATATCTTGGGATTACTGAAAGAAGAAAATTTTTTTTGGGGGGGGGAGGGGTGAGGAATAGAAAATCCTATATAATTCTATGTAGTTTAACTGTTATTCCCCTTCTCTTGTTCTACATTTTACTTATAAATGATGAGAGGGAACAAAGAAAAAAATCAGAGCTGTTGTAGAATCTCAAACTTCATTTTCTGATGCCTCTGAGTGATTCTATGGTTTGCTTATCTTCAGATTTGCCTCTCCTCCCCAGAGCACCAATTCTGGTATAAACTCACCTCCAGTGTGGGGTGGAGAAGACCCTAGGAATCTGAAGAGGCAGGCCCTGTACCTATCTAGTCTCATATCTTCAGATTACCTGCTACATGCCAGGTCTTGAAGGCCTCCTCTCTCCCCTCCCTGGAACACCAGATTTGGGAGAATATCAGCCTTGAATGAGTCTGAGTCAAACTGGGCTTTATGGGATGCCTCTAGGACAGAACCAAACAGAATTTGCAACGTGTGCGGAACATGTCTTAGTGTGGGTCCCTAACCACATTCTTGTTCATGCTAAAAATCACAACATACTTCTAACCAAGCAAGGCACGTCTATGTATCTGATGGTGCTGTCAGTGATAGAAAATGATCATGTTATGGATTTGACAGGGAGGAAAAAGAAGATTTATTTCCAAAGTTGAAGATTTATCTTTTCCAGATATGCAAAACCAGTCAGAGCATTAAGAAATATCAGCAAAAAGTGATCATGTTTTGTGGGCAGGAGGAACCATTTCTTGACTTCAAAATAATAAGGAAGATTTATAAGGATCCCAAATCCATGGTTTAAAAAAAAATGATTTGACAATAGGATGCCAGTGGGACTATCAAACTTTTAACTGTCCCGTATGGTGAGGTGACGGCTTCAGTTTTAAATGAATGCCTTACATTGAATGCTTAAATCTCTCCCTTTTTCTTTTCTCCTCCCCATCATTTAGATTTTTTTTTCAATGTTCAGCATAACTAAAACGTCTAAGTAGGGAATTACACATAATTATAGGCTCTGCACCATTGGCAAATGATGCTTCCTCCTAATCATTTATAATCATTTGTTCCACTCTTCCTTCTCCTGGAAAATTTACTTAGAATGACAGCAGTGTCCTTTATTTCTTTTGAAGGCATCCTTTGGTTCCACTTTGTGTAGAGGTTATACAACATGTCAAGAAATGCAACATTGTATTCTCCCCATAGTCACACATATACAAATAGAAAACATGACTTTAAATGAATACAATAAAATTGAAATAACTAAATTATGTTTTATCTACTAAAGCTATTTGGTAAGGTAAATAAATTTTGAAAAATATTTCTATAACTCAGAGGCCATGATCACTCTGAATGTGTAGCCTGCACCTGCTGGCTGGGAGGTTGTTTTGTGCTGTTAGGTCAGAACTCAGTGCCATCCTTGTTTGCTTCATCAACCTTTTCTTATTGCTGGCTTAGAGAAATGTGACATTGCTAAAAACTCTAACTTGAAAATGCTTCACAGAGCAGGATCCCTGCCAAATTCAGGAATTTTGCTGGTTTGGAAAACGAGTGCTGTCATGCAGAACCAAAGGCTGATACTAGAAGTCAGCAATCACAATGGGAATGAATCCCACAATCAGAATGTGGTTTCTGGATGTCTTAATCTCCTCCAACTTTAAAGGAGTGATGCTGGCCTTACTTTCAGGGTAACTTTACAAAGAAAATTTAGGGGCAGGTGGAGTTCAATCCTAAAACTTCATTCTTTCCCAAGTTCTAATGCTTCCATTATTACTGGCAGTTCTTCCCTAACTTCTAATGCTTCCTTTATTATCCAGATTATTAAGAGATGCCCATTTTCTCCTCTTAGTATTAAATTCCGGAGAAAGAACATACAACATCTTCCTTACCTGGTCAAGGAATAAGTTGTCCTGAATAAAGAAGCTTCCCAGCTGATAGTGAAACTAGTCCCCTGATGCAATTTGTGTTTTAACCCGGTTTTGAGGGAAGTGGTTTCTACCGTTTGTTTCCCTCTCTATTGCCTTAGTGGGAAGGGCATGGGCTGGCTGTAGTGGGAGGACTCAGGGTCATTGCTGGGGTCTTTTGTACAATGCTACAGTAAGGCCAGCAGGCTTTCTAAAGGGAGTTGGGTCTATTGGTGCATTGTGAGTAGCACAATGAGGCCATAGGTTGAACTTGTCTTTAACTTGCATCCTTTCTATTTCTTGGTGCTTCTGATTCATTAAGAAAAGTTCAAATTAATATTAGGCCTGCCCTCTTTCTGAAAGTAGAAAGCTTTCCAATGTTAGTTTAAATCTAACATTTGGCATGAGGAAGGGACATCTTTGACATGGTGGGCTTATGACTGAATTCTTCTTAATTTTTGTCTAATTTATTGGCTAGCACTGTGCCTATGAAATGTTCTTCTCCATCTTTTGTATTTTAATCCATTATTTTAATACTTGCCCTTTCCCAAAGCTTTATGCCCTTCTAGACTTTAGAATTCAGAAGTAGATTGACATTGGTAGCCACTCCCCCCCCTTTTTTTTTTTAGCTTTTTAAAATTTTTATTTATTGATTTGAGAGAGAGAGAAAGAAACATTGATCAATTGTTCTACCCATTTATGCATTCATTGTGTGCTTCTTGTATGTGCCCCCCCCACCCCCCAGCTCAACCAACTGAGCCACTCTGTCTGAGCTATTCAAATGCTTTCTTTCTTCCTTCCTTTCTTGCTTTCTTTCCCTTTCTCTTTCCCTTTCCCTCTTTCTTTCTTTCTTTCTTTCTTTCTTTCTTTCTTTCTTTCTTTCTTTCTTTCTTTCTTTCTTTCTTTCTTCTTTCTCTTCTCTTCTCTTCTCTTCTCTTCTCTTCTCTTCTCTTCTCTTCTCTTCTCTTCTCTTCTCTTCTCTTCTCTTCTCTTCTCTTCTCTTCTCTTCTCTTCTCTCTCTCTCTTTCCTTTCTTTCATCTTCTTCCCTCCCCCCTGCCAAAATTGTTCTCAATAAGGTCAAGTCACCATTTGTATTAGTTCCCTATTGCTGCTGTAACAAATTACCAAAACTTTGTGACTTAAAAACAACCCAAGATTAATTTCTTACTATTCTGTAGGCCAAAAATCTAAAGTCAAGATGTTGGAAGGGCTTATTCCTTCTGAAGGCTCTAAGGAACATTGTTGTTTTTTGTTTTTTCTTTTCTA